CATGTTTGTAAAAGGAATTTCTGCTTGTCTAGTGATACATGCATCTTGCCTGGATCATTACATGCTTATGCATTTGTATCATTGCTACTGATATGTTTAGTGTCATCAGTGTTTCTAGAGATATCGCACAAATTCATAACTAAATAAATACTCTGATGTTTTTAGAAGATCATTTCCCTAATCACTGTCCTAAATTTCTCTCCTCAGCATCTGCTTGTCTCCTTAGTTTGTTTCTAAGTATTTTGGTATTGATACTATTGTGAATGAAATCATTATCATAGACTATCAGATTTTTTCATTGCTGTGTAGAAATACAATTAACTTTGCGTTAATCTGTGTTCTGCAATTTGCTAAACTTTTTATTGAATCTTTAGGACTTTCTACATCTAAGATCGCTTCCTCCGAAAACATTTTCCCTTCCCAATTTGATGTCCCTTTTCTTGCTTAATTTCTCCAACTATAACTCCTAGTCACTGGGGGTTGAAAAGAAGTGGTGAGAATGGGTACTCTTGTCACACTGCTTTGGTCTTCACTACTGAAGCAACTTTGTTGTGTTTCAGTACTTTCTTCCCTTTCCTGGTTTTCATCGGGAATGTATGTTAGGTTTTTTTTTTTCAATTGCTTTTCCCTCTATCATTTGAAAAAATATTATGCTCTCCCCCCACCTCTTTAGTCTATTAATATGACATGTCTCATAGATGTCTGTATGGTGAGCCATTTATGTATACTAGGGATAACTCTCACTTGGTGTTTAATTATTTCTGATATGCTGTTGAATTCCATTGGTGAGTATTAAATATTTCTATGTGTGTGAGTGTTACCTATATGTGTGTGTATGTACCATGTATGTGCCTGGTGCCTGAGGAGGCCAGAAGAGGGTGTCAGATCCCATGGAACTGTACTACAGATAGTTGTAAGTCACTTTGTGGGTGCTTGGATCTGAATCCAGGTGCCCTGCAAGTACAAGAAATGCTCTTAACCAATGATCCATCTTTCTAGCCCCACCATTAATTTTTAAATGCTTGGTAGAATTTAAGAGTGAGGTCTTCTATTTCTGTTTTTTTCCTTGGTGCAGTTGTATTACTATTGGTAAAACTTTTCACTATTTTTAAAGAATTCATGTTATTTCAAGACAGTGTTTCTCTGTGTAGCTGTCCTGGAACTCACTGTATAGACCAGGCTGGCCTTGAACTCACAAATATCTGCCTACATCTGCCTCCCTAGTGATGGGAGTAAGGGCGTGCACCACCACCACCATTAAAGATTTATTTTTATTTTTGGTTTGTATATACACGTGTCTGTTTGGGAGGATGGGCATATGCATGCAGTTGTGTGTGGAGACCAGAAGAGGCCATAGGTTTCCTGAAACTGGAGTTACAGGCAGTTGTAAGCCACCCAATGATTTGGTGCTAGGAACTAAACTAGGTCTCTGCAATAGCAGTACATTCTCTGACTCTTCAAATGTCTCTCCTCACTAATTGAACCTTGTTACTAGTTCTAAGACTCTTCCATTTCTTCCTCACTTTTATTCTGGCTCCAATCCTTCTTCCCTCTCTTCAGCAGGGTTCCCTGAGCTCTGCCAAATGTTTGGCTGTGGGTCTCTGCATCTGTTTCCATCAGTTACTGGGTGAAAGCTCTCTGATGAGAATTGGGCTAGGCACCAATTTATGAGTATGGCAGAATATTGTTAGGCATCATGTCATTGACTTTGACTTTTCTTTTTTCTTTCCTTTTTTTCTTTCTCTACTTCTCCACTTCCTTCTCTTCTTTTTTTGTCATTCGTGTTTGGTTCTACCCTAAGTCTCTGAGCCATCCAGCTTCCAGTTCCTGACTATCTAGGCAATGTCTGGCTTGGGCACCCTGTCTTGGTTTGGGCTTCCAGTTGGAACAGTCATTGGTTGGCCACTCCCATAAGCTTTTGCCACCATTGCCCCAGCATATCTTGCAGGCAGGACAGGTATGAGTTGAAAGTTTTGTGGCTGAGTTGGAATCCCAGTCCCACTACTGGAAGCCTTGCCTGGCTACAAAGGATAGCCCGTTCAGGCTCTGTATCCTTCATTACTAGGAGTCCTCACTGGGGTCACTTTCATAGATTTTAGGAAGTTTCCACTGCACTAGGTTTCCACATTGACCACCACGTCACCGCCCAAATGTCTGCCCCAAGTCCACCCTCAAAATCTATTCTGTTTCCCCTTCCCATGGAGATCCATGCACCCCCAACCCAACCCTGAGCTCTCCTTGTTACTTAGCCTTTCTGGGTCTGTGGACTGTAGTGTGATTATCCTTTACTTTGCAGCTAATAGTCACTTTCAAGTAAAGTGAGTACATTATCATTTTTGTCTCTCTGGGTCTCGGTTGCCTGATCAAGGTAACCCAGATCACTCTGCTTTTTTCATGCAGACATTTATAGGTCTAAACTACCATGTAGGACTGGATTTGGAACCTGGAGAAATGGCTCAGCAGTTAAAAGCCAGAACAGGTTTTCCAGAGGGCCCATGTTCATTTCCTAGCACACATACAGTGGCTCACAACCATCTCTTATTCCAGCTTTAAGGGAGCTACGTTTCTCATCTGGCCAGACACACACTCATATACATGAAATATAAAAACAAATAAATCTTTAAATTATTGTGTTTAGAACTGCATTTATCCCACAAGTACTGGTATGTAATATTTTCATTTTAAAATTTCTCCCTGATTTCATTACTTTACTAGTTGTTGTTTGAGCTACATGTTTTTGTATGTTTTCTGTAGTTTTTCCTGTCATTTATTTCTAGTTTTCTTAGATTGTAATCAGATACAATAAAAGCATTTTGCATGTTGATATTTGCTAAGACTTGCTTTGTATCCTAAAATATAGTCTATTCCTCAAACTGCTGAGATGATATTTTGAAGTATTGGGGTGAAATATTCTGTAGATGTGTTAAGTATGCTTGATTTATAAGGTCATTAGCTCTGGTGTTTCTTCATATTTTCAAATTAGCTGTGTAGCCCTGGATATAACTTTGTCTTCTTTAAAATTCAAGTTTGGTACTTTCATTTTTGTTGGTGGGAGCATTACACATGCTCTTACATTCAAGTTTCAAGACTTTATGATTCATTGTTTTGAAATTAAGGTATTTTTTAAAAGATCGTGTAATTCACAGGAAAAAAAGCAAAGTATTGTAAACATCTATGTCTAATTTATTACTGTTTTCAGACAGAATTTTCATCTTGCTGTATGACAGATTTTTCCTGGGGATATGCAACACATACCTGTCTAACCCCCCAGATAGGGATCCCATGACAGACCAAAGTACAAGATACCACCAAATTCTAACTTGGTGAACAAATGAGTTTTATATGGGGTTACTTACAGGAGCAAAAATGACAAAAAAAGAGAGCAACGTCTACAAAGCCCACCCCAGCATGGGTGACGGCTCATGAAGCTGGGAACCTGGAGCACACTGCACAGCCTGCAGGCAGGTCAACAGGTTGGAGAGTGTCCTTTCCAGGTGTCCTAATGGACTAAACCTTTCTCGGCAGTCCAGCTGGTTTCTGCTTCTTCCAGGCAGCTGGGCTTGTTGGAGTCTTCTGTGCAGCTTAGGGCCTTTCAGAGTCTTCTTTGTAGTTTATCTTGTCTGAGAGGGAGGGTCCCAGTGAATCTGGTCAGTTTAAGGACTTCCTGAAACTATTTTGTGTTGCTTGCCTCTGCCTTAAGTAGCTTCCCTAGAGGAGGAAATGATGCAATCTTGGAGGAAATTATTATTTTTTTTTATTTTATTTTTTGTATATTTGAATTACAAACAAGATTGAATTACATGACGATCCCAGTTCCCTTCTCCCTACCTTCTCAGAGGAAATTATTATACAGCTCCTGATCAAACTTCAGTAATGTTAAAAATTTACATTTTAATGCAGTCAATAAAAATTAGTCATTTTCTATAGCATTTGTATTTTCTCCATTAAAGAAACCATTTTCTACAAGTCTTGCAAGGTATTTCCTTGTCTATGACACAACTTATTTTGACTTAGAAGACCCAGAATCAAGTTTTAGATAATCGTTCTCTAACATAAAATTTACCTTGAAAAAAATAACTTGGCAAAGATGTTCAACTTCAGAAAGTTAGAGGAAGGAGAGCTTTTAACATCCATAAAAAATAAAAAAATTCACTTGGTGTGGAGACATATGCCTTTAATCCCAGCACCCGGGAGTCAGGAAGATAAATCTCTGTGAGACCTGGGCCAGCCTGGAGCCTGGTCCACATAGTGTATTCCAGGCAGACAAGGCTACATAGTGAGACCTAGCCTCAAAGAGAAAAAGAAGTAATAGGAGGAAGGAAACCAAAGAAAAAAAAAAGAAAAAGCAGGACTATGCCCTGATAAAGTTGAAGAAATGGACAAAATAGGCTTTATATCTATGAAAGAAAGAACTGAAAAACAAAATAAGATGAGGTGAGATCTGTGAGGTTTGTGTTGTTATTGTTGGTTTTCAAGACAGGTTTTCTCCGTGTAGCTCTGGCTGTCATGGAACTCACTATGTAGACCGGGCTGATCTTGAACCCACTGAGATCTGCCTGCCTCTGCCTCCCAAGTGCTGGGATCAAAGGTGTGTGCCACCACTGCCCAGCTCTGATCTATGAGGTCTTATGTGCACAAGCAACCAATCACCAATTGGCCTCTGGTCAACTGGAAAGCTTAGCAAATCATGGTGGAGTCACTACATGTTAGCAGGAAAATTGGGGTCCCCTCTTGGGGTTCTTAGTCTCATTAAGAAAAAAGTTAAGACTGGAGAGATGGCTCAGGGGTTAAGAACACTGACTGTTCCTCCAGAGGTACTGAATTCAGTTTCGGGGCTGGAGAGATGGCTCAGAGGTTAAGAGCACTGACTGCTCTTCCAGAGGTCCTAAGTTCAATTCCCAGCAACCACATGGTGGCTCACAACCATCTGTTATGAGATCTGGTGCCCTCTGCTGGTGTGCAGATATATATATGGAAGCAGAATGTTGTATATGTAATAAATAAATAAAGTCTTTAAAAAAAGAAAAAATTAAGGGTGGAAACAATAGGCACAACTTTAAAAGAAAAATCTCAGGGCAGGAAAGCTGAAAATCTCAACAGATGCCTGGAGGAAGAAAATGGAGCAGAGAAAAAAAAGCTATGCTGGCATGGATGTTGGTTATATGGCAGACATGCAGCTACATGGTGGAGTGGGGAGCTTTAGAGAAAGAGTTGAGCCCAAAGTGTCAGGGGAAAGCATGCTCAGAAAAAAAAAAGAAAGAAAGGAAGAAATGGAAAAGTTACTCTCTTCTCAGTAATCCAGAAAGACAACCTGATTTACATAAATTATGAGACTGAAGCTATTGTGCTAGAGGCTGGAACTCTGAATAGGAAAAGTACATTATTTCATTAAAGGGCTAATTATTCCTCTTTCCTTTTTTTAGCACGGCTTAAGGTGAATCTTCCTTCTGGAGGGGTGGTCCCTTTGTCAGGTAAGTGGCCAGTTCAATTACATTAATACACACTCTCCGCCTAACCAGGCAGTTATTTTCAGTTATTTTTAAATCCTCTCTCTCCCTCTCGCGCTCTCTCTCTCTCTCTGTGTGTGTGTGTGTGGGGGGGGGGCTGTGTAGCTCTGACTGTCTCAGAATTTGCTCTGTAGACCAGGTTGGCCCCAAACTCAGAGATCATCCTGCCTCTGCCTCCCAAGGTCTGGGATTAAAGACATGTGCCACTCAAGGGAGGAGACAGTCATATGTCTTCACCCAGGTACATTCCAATCCTTTGGCTAGAAGGTGATAGCTTTCTCTTAAGGAGCTTTCCATACTGCTGTAACAGTTTTCAGTGGTAGCTGGCAGGGAGCCTCTATCTTCTCCTGGACACAGGTACCAAAAAAGTGATGAACAAGAGAGAGAATGACTGACTGAAGGGATCCACTGGGGCTGGATGAAAGTGGAGACAGCCTGGGCTGCACTGCATATGGAAATTATGGTAGAATTCTGACAGAAGAACCTGAATCTATGGTCTTCCAAGAACACCCAGAGTGAAAAGGCACCAGGCTTGCTACTATCTGCTCAAACAGCAGGCAACAAACAAAAACAAAATAATCTGAATCTTCCTTGGAAAAGAACACCCAATTACAAATAAGCACAAGGATAGGTGGTCCTTCTAGAAGGCCAAGAATGTTCCCAAGTCCCTCTAAATTATAAAATAAGTTAGTTGTGCCTGAGAGAGAATACATTTGACTATGTTTGGTATTATATTAAATATAAAGTGTAATTTTTCATCCAACAGAATGGCACTTCTTGTGTGAATGTAAATCAGTCCAGCCACTCTGAAAATCTATGTAAAAATATCTCACAAAGCTAAAAGTTCAACTACCATATGACACGTGTATACTAATCTGGGAATACACCCAAAGATAGTACACAGACAACTGCACATTTATGTTTACTGCTGGACTAGCCACAGGAGCCAAGATTTGGAACTAGCATATGTACATACATACATACATACATACATACATACATACATACATACATGCATACATACATGCATACCATATATACATATATACACACACACATTTCAGCCATAAGAAGATTGAAATTAGCTCTTTTGCAAAAAAAATATGGATGGAACCACTGATCATTGTGTTAGTAAGATAAGCCAGACTCTCAAAGAAAAGATTTGTAAGTATTTGGTGATATTTGATTGTGTACTTTAATTGATATTTGGGAGTTGCTGTTAGAAAATCCCAGCACTAAGAAGGGGAAGGGGACACAAAATGTCGCAGCAACCAAGAAACTATTTGCAATTGATACCTCCTAATAAAGAGAAAATCAATTTTTCCCAAGAGAGTGTCAGTGGGTATATCAACCACACTCCAGTGCAGGCCCTGTGCCCAGGAATAGTTGAAGAACACAAAATGGACTACATGTTTTGTTTTGTGTGTGTACATGCATGCACACGCAGAAACATGCCCTTTTGCTTTGTTTTGATTTGATAATTTTTTTTGTCTTAGTAATTTTTTTCTTTTAGTTTGTCTGTTTTGGTGTTCATTTTCTGTTGTTTTTTCTGATGGGTAGGGCAGATGTACAGAAGGAGACATAAAGCAAGAGAGGAAAGAGACAGATGGAAGGAGCCAGAAATCGGTGTGTGTGTGTGTGTGTGTGAAGAATATGATCAAAATACATTGTGTGAATAAGTTTTTTAAATAAAAAGTTAATTTCTGTTAGAATATCTCCAAATGACAGTCTCCACTTATTATTCCCAGCAGATTTGGGAGGGAACGGATAAAAATGAAGAGTGTGGTAATAGATCCTTTGGACATAAAGGTCACTCATTAGGCAATGGTGTCATCCCCTTGTCATTTTGGCTTTTGTCCCCACATCCACTGCTCTTGTATGAGTGCAGACATCTGTCTGCCAGGTCCACTACAATGTAGGAAGTCACTTACTCCTCTGCATATTCCTAATGAAGATCCTTTATCATCATAATGGCAATCGTCTCAAAGTCCTCACTCTCCATCTCTAGTTCTGGTCATTTCCCTCAGCTAGTGCTACTTCTCATGTGTTTTCCATGTGTTTCAGACTTCATTTCCTTGTTCAGTCTGAGCTCTTTTGTCCTCAGACTTCCAGATAAATGTTTGGAAGGCACTACAAATATCAAAAGAAACATACCAGTATTTGTTTTGCATAATACTGAAGCAACAGCTTTTCATTTTAGAAGTGTTTCTAAAATACAGAAAGTAATGGGTGAAACCAAAATTCAATGTATTTACAAGTAAATTTGTTGTATTAAATATGAAATAAATTACTATAAGGCCAATATTAAGCATGAATTATTATTCAAATAAATTGTTACTATAAAAATGGAAGATACAAAATATTTCAACATAATGAGCTTATGAAAAATTAAGCAATGTTCATAATGGTGACAAGTCAAAAGTGTAATAAACTTGATATTTTAAATGGGTGAATTTTCTGATAAGCAAGTTATATTTTAATGAAGCTATTTTTAATAAAGAAGGTCTTACTATTTGGAAATATATATCATATTCATGACCGAGACAACATAATATAACAATATTAATTCTCTCACAAATTATTTGTACATTTAATGAAATTTAAATTAAAATTCCTTATAAATAATGGAAATATGGAAAGCAATAAATCAACTAAAACTCAGGACATCCAATAGACAATATTTATAAACAATTTGCCAAATGGTAGGCCCAGCCGGCTATGTTGTCAAGAAATATTCAGCTTTACTATACTCAGAACTACACATAGTTCAAACTACATGGAGGGATAATGCCAGCATGAGAGAAGAATAGGAGGTCCCCTGCTTATATTCCCCCATGGCAACAATACTTTCACAGATATTCATGGACAAAAGTGCCTTTTTGAGAGTTTTGGAATTGAATTGCGGTAGGTATTTGTGCTATCTTTGTAGTACCATGACATAGCAGAGGTCTTTGGGAAGAGAGACCTAGCACAGATGACAGGCTCATTAACTGCTGTCCTATCTCCAGACCCAGAAGTAGCTATACTATGGACTTAGTTCTCCCCATTGGGCATTAGTTCTTTTATGATAATTGTCTGTCAAGACACCTGGTAGAAGCTATTCATGACAGGCACATAAATCTCAGTCCTAGCTATAGACCTTGAAATTACCTTGAGTACTGACTCCAATTCCTGTGATCTGCAATAAAAGTATTCCTGTCCATACACGAGCCCAGATGAAGAAATGCTATCTGAGAGCATAGGGAGTGCTTGCCGACATCATCCTCACAGCAGATCCTAAAATGGCCTTGTATACCTCTCACCTATAAATATATATGAAAGAGAGGAGAAAGGTTTGGGAATCCATAAAGGAAGCAAAAAGGATGCCCAAAAGGATCAGGAACAAGTGGGCAATATAGCTCCCTGGAAGAGTGAAGGGAAACAGTTGCTTCCTATAGTTAACCCTGGTTTTCTAACCCTCAAGGCAAGCTTTCAGCTGACCGAACTCAAACTCACTTGGGTTCTTTGATGAGACAGTGACTCCTCTGGTGGGTAGGTCATCAGTAGAGAGAAATCCCATTTTGTCATGTTATATGGATTGGACGCAGCAGCCAGGTGTCACTTTGAGTTTAAATATCTATAAATATTATAATAAGAATAAAACATTGTGCCAAATGTGGATATTAAGAGGATGAGTAGCACTAAGAAAAAAACAACCTCTGGATCTGATGTCTAAAACATTTTTAGAAGAATTAACATTAATCTGTACCAACTACCTAAAACATGATGAGTAAGAAATAATTCATTTTGTGGGGGGGGCAGGTTTTCAGACAGGGGTTCTCTGTGGCTTTGGAGCTTGTTCTGGAACTAGCTCTTGTAGACTAGTCTGGTCTCGAACTAAAAAGATATGCCTGCCTCTGCCTCTGCCTCTGCCTCTGGAGTGCTGGGATTAAAGGCGTGTGCCACTGCCGCCAGTTAAAGTAATTCTAACACACTCTATGAGGTCAGTATTACTGTGATATAAAAGCTGTAATAAGGTACTGTAAAAAATGTGTGTTAATGGGTTAGTGGTCTCCAAAGACACCAATATGAGCCCTCTCTCCCCCACCCTGTGTGTGTGTGTGTGTGTGTGTGTGTGTGTGTGAGAGAGGAGAGAGAGAGAGAGAGAGAGAGAGAGAGAGAGAGAGAGAATGTTAGAAGCATTCTTTCCTCTATACAGTCTGGCAAAACCAAACAAAACAAAATGGAAAACAGAAATGCCTGAACAGAAGACAAAAATTTTGCACTGGGTGACTGTGGGTACATTCCTATTTCCATTTCTTGGTACTCAGACATATGAAGTCTAGCTTTGGTAGAAACAGCATCATACATTGAATAGTAATTCATTCCCATGGAGAACCTTGCTCCAGCCTTGCCATGAATCACCTCCTATATGTGCTGTATATAATATCTTCAAAAGGCCATTGCACTGTTCCTGCATTGTCAAGGGGACCCTTGCGGTAACAGTTTCACAAGCATAGAAACATTGCCACATGTGTTCATTTTTACAAAATGAGTCATTGATTAGATATTGTATGGATCCCATAATGGTATATAAGAATCTTTAGGTATATAAATAGGAACTTTGACATAAGTATTATATTCTAGAAAGACAACTTATTTGGGGGAAATATTTTATCTTATTTTTATCTATGTGTATGTATGCGTGTCTCTCTGTGGGTATGTTGGTGGGAGTATAGGTGCCTGCACAGACCAGAGGCATCAGATACCCTGGACCTGGTTGTGAGCTGCCTGATGTGGGGGCTGGGAACTGAACTTGGGTCTCCCGAAAAAGCCAAAAGTACCTTAAAATGCTAAGCCATTTCTCCAATCCCAGGAAGACAAATCTCTTGAGTTATTTACACCTTTAAAGACTTAAGATTATATTGTCTATAATGTTCCCTATTGTACTCAATAAAAATCAGCTAAGAGAGACTGCGGATAAT